GTTTTATTTGTATGTTATATCAAAATTAAAATTAAAAAAAATATTAAGAATGATTAAAATCGTTAAAAAAGGTTAAAAAAATAATTTATCTAATAGAAATTTATTTTTTATTCAATGTAATATACCAAGATTTAGAATTAAAAATAATTTTACATGGTAATAGTTAGAAGAAATACAAAAAAATAGTGTAAGAAAAAGTTACATAATTTAATAAAAAAAGGAAAACAAGTCTTAGAATAATTTATTTAAAATGAGAATTTAAATTATAATATTGAACTGAGATATAATAAAAACCAATTAATATATGAATGACAAATGAGAGAAATTATTCAGGAATAAAGAAGGTAGTTTTAAAGTCAAAGGGAGAATGATTGTGTTTCTTTTGAAAGGTTGTGGAATGTTGCACGCAGCTTGACCCACCAAAACGTGAGAATGATTGACAAAACGTTGCAATCAAAAGGAGCATGCATGGCGATAAAGGTGAGAATGATTATGGGGGGATCCATCAATCTCACCATAGAACACCCATTAGATGCTCTTTCCCTCAAGCCACCACATTGAGTCATTAGAGTTCATCATTCATCCCTACTTCACGTTGTGTTTTACAGATTACCCTCATCAATAGACTTCCAATTCTCATAATTTGTCTCTTAATTAGAAAAAGACCATTACTTTTGTAATGGGTAAAACACCATTTACGTTATCACCTACTTTTCAGACAAATCATCAGGTAGTGTTTTAACCTTTAACCATTTTGCTTTTCCCGACATTCTTTTCGCCTTATTATAGTGGGGTACCTCTCTATTATTATTTCCTCATGAATGGTGATTCATATATATTAGAATAAAGTTGCATTATGATGCATTTTGTTGGCCTCCTAGCCACTAATTAGAAACCTGAAACTAATTAATCAAACAAACCAGTCCCTACAAATTACATTATATAAATAAATGATACCACCAATACTGACACACCGAACCAGCTGTAAGGAATATTTGGAAACACTTGAATACCAGCACTGTTTTGTAATCAGAATGTAGTGTATTATCTGATATAAAAAGTGCTTAGCAACTTAAGCACAAGTTCAGTTTTGGCATTCCTCCACAAAATTTTATTCTGGCATTTACCTACTTACAACTGTTAAATGAGTCTGTGTTGATTATTTTTGCAAAGTTGTAATGTTAATCGAATATAATAACTGTTAGTTGAGTTCATACTCTTCTAATACCTTATCAGCATCATGTCATTATAGAGAAAAGAGGACAATAAAAGGTGTACTTCACAAATGGTAAAGGCATTTATCTTTTAAACTTTTTGTCCTGATTAATTTATAGATAAATTTAGTGTAATGATTTAGACAAAACAATCCAACAAGGCATCATGCATAGTAAAATATGTCTTAGTATAAGGTAGGTGATTATATCCATATCATATTGGCAATCATTCTGGTACATATCGTGTTTTGAATTACACATGAACTTAAGAGAAACCATTGCTATGGTTTGCATTGATTACCTCAACTTGTTGGCCTTTCTTTATGCTCATCATTTCTCACTTTAAGAAAAGGGATAGAATGCAACAAAAAGCCATAGTGCTTGTGGGACATACCAAATTGTTGATCTACTACATTCTACAATTTTAGACTTGATTCCTTTCTACTATTGGTTATCAAAATAAACATTCTCTCCTTGGTTAGATCAAAACACCAGCATTTATGAAGAATTTGTTTAATAACTTCATATCATTATAATCATTAGTTTATATATAACGAAAGTTAACACAGTCTCAATACAAAAAATTCAGCAGAAAAGCAAAATTCATTGCTGAACTTACACTCATTTAAGTTACAAGCACCCTCGACTCTAACAGCTTTAATTGACCTTTGAGTTGAATAAAATACAAGTATGAACTATGAACACGAAGATAGCAACAAAAGGGTCGAACTAAAGAGTATCTATAAATTTATTGATGATTAACCTTCATTAAAAAAAAAAAAGACTAGCTTTTGTTTTCTACTTGCGGAAAAAAAATTGTCCAAAATTGATAGATTCATTCAAAAGTCATTTTAAACTAGCTTGACAACTAACTGCTATTGAATCATTCAACTCACATTTTTTCTTTACAAGAAATCATTTAACTCACTTGAAACTTGATATAAAATTCATACTTAAGCTATTGATTTACCAGTTGAGATGTTTATTTATTTAGAAAGATAAAAAAAACAATAAAGTAAAAATAATTATATTATTCATAAAAGTGATTTGAAATTACAAAACGAAAACTCTGTCAAAGGAGACTTTAGTTGTTTTTAACAAAAAATGGTCAATAATTTGAAATATAGTTATAAAAATACAAAATGATTGGTAAGCAATTTTATAAATATAATTTAAAATTTCATATAAATATGATAATTTTTAACTTATCAATAAAATCATGTTTACAAAGTTTCAACATACTAAAAATTGAAATTATCGCACAAATGAAAAAAATCTATCAATAAATATATACTGACTGATTTTTAACTTATTAAGAAAAGTATTTTCAAGTCAATAAAATCATGTTTACAAAGTTTCAACTATTTAATAAAATATGATAGAAAATAAGCTCACAAAGTTTAAATTTTGTTTAACTTGACAAATGAATTTAATTGAGAATTTAGTAAATAAAATTCAAATAATTTACAAGTACCTTAATTCATACTTTACATGTATAAAAGCATTATTCTCATTGTAAACTTGCTAGTGCGGGAAGTAAAAAAACAAATTATTCAATTTACCTCCCCAAACTTCAAACTTAAAAAAAAAATAAATATATATATATATATATATATATATATATAAATTAAAAAATTATTATTTTATATGTAAAAAAAACTATTTAATAGGTAAAAAACCTAATTATAAGGAAAGAAAAAGTTCATTGGTCATGCTTTTATTCAATGTGGTTTGAGGGAAAAAAAGATACAGTTTCTTAAATAATTTAAGTTTTTTAATAAAGAAAATAAAGTTTGTAATTCAGTAATTTTCATAAAAGAAGTTTGCTTTAAAGGTCACTGGTAAGATTCAAATTTTGATTAAAAAATAACATTAAAAATACAAAAATATGATAAGTTTTAGTATGTTAAAGTTTAGAATAATAGTATATATAAGAAGTATTAGGAACAAAATATATCATAATGCTAGTTAAAATAATTAAATGTATATCTAGATAATAATAATTAGTATTAGAAGAAATGTCTATAAAACAGTTCAGTTCAGGAAAAAATTATTACGGATTGAATAATTACGAATTACATCAATTATTTCGTGACAGAAGTTAAGTGTCACCATCCAAATTTAGCGCTATTATTCAAGTGTTCATATTAAGGTTAAATCTAATCATTCTTAACGAGATCAAGTTTTGTGTTAATTAAATTCCATTAAAAAAATTAACGGAGTTTTTTCTTTTTAAGTTTTTTAATTATATATTTTTAAATTTATAATAATCCAACTCAAAACCTTATTTAAGTAGATCAAGTGCTGAGCATACTTTGGTTGTATTGTCGGGGCAAAGATCTTATGACCATGGTACTCAATAATTTCCAGAATTAACATTTAATATATTATAAACTTATCTACATTGTTCTTTCTTTTAAAATTCTAAGAACTGTATATCTTTAATATTCCTTTTTTTTTCATTTTTATATAAAAATTATGCGAAAATTTAACTGACCAAACTAGAAGATTTTATAGCAAAATTATAAAGAGTATGATAATGAAGAATTATACATACTTGAATATTTGTAGAATTTCATAACATATTAAACGATTGATATAAGTTTTCTGTTACAGGATAATATAGATTTATCATCTACAATATTATCTTTATAAATTTTTAACATTCTGACAGTATTTATTTAATTTTTAAAAATATATACTATACAATACCTTGAATATAATACGTTTTAATATTTTTTAGTTACATTTTAACTAACTGTGTGGAAAAAAAAACGTGTAAATATTTGTTCATAAGAGTATTTACTGAAATTCTAAATTCTAAATTATAGTATATGAATAAATCATTTTATATACTGTTATAAATGTGAATTTCAAGACAATCTTATTAAAATCATATTATTTTTCAATTATATTTAAAAAAATATTTTATATATTGATTATAACATTCACAATTAATTGTTTAAATAATGTAAATTTTAAACATATAAAGCTATTTACTTTTATTCTTTTTAAATATAAGTTTTCTCTTTTATATTCACTGATTAAATTTAAAGATTTTTTTTCTATCTTTATGATTCATTTTTTATAGTTTAACAATTTAAAAGAATAAGTCTTCTCAATTATTATATTAGAATAAATAAATGACAAAGATGAAATTAATAAATCTGTAAATCTTGTTTTAAATCATAATGGACTTAGTAGTGACCGAAGTTTCTCTTCCTCAGCTAGAAACAATCCTCCCTTTCTTTTGGGCCATAAGCCCATACAACAAAGCATTGTCAGTTAGAAGAAATGTGTACACAATGCATCTTGAATAAGAAAAATACACAGTCCATCAGCATAAATAAATAAATAAAAATCCCCAATTAAAGTTTTAAAACAAAAGACCACCAACTCAGTCTAAGGTAAGCAAAATATTTGACCCAAACACAGTACGCTAATAAAATAACTTACACTGTTTGTTATTTAAATTATTGGAAGTAATTAAACTGTTAAATGCATGTCTAAGATTGACTACCCTCCTTCGGCCTAGTCTTTTAGATGGGTCTTTGCAAAATGGTTTCATAGGACATTAAAGACATGAATTAGGTTGGTATGGGAAACAGAATTTGGGTGAGGTAAGAGGTTGGGGTTGACTGAATAAGGATTAGGGGATAGTGGTGGGTGAGGAAGGAAGAAGAGAAGTTTGAAGGTTGATGCATAAAAGGAAGAACAATGATAGCATGCAAAGACAAATAAATAATGTAAGGTAAGCTAAGCTCGATAGATAGCAGAAAAGGAAAAATGACCATAGACGATGATAGCTCTATATATGTAGGGGGTCTCCCCTACGACATCTCCGAAGAAACCATTCGTACTGTCTTCAATTTGTATGGTGCCATTCTCGATGTGAAGGTCAGTTTTCTAACTCTATCTCTCTTTTAGGGTTTTAACCATCTTAGTTTTCCACCACCCTATTTTTCTAATTCTTTTCACAAATAATCAATTCCATCCATTGGGGTTCAGGTTCAGTCCTCAATTTTTTTTTTTTTTCAGATTATCAACGACCAACGTAGTAGGGGGAAGTGCTATTGTTTTGTTACTTTCACAAATCCTAGGTCAGCGATCGACGCCATCAACGACATGAATGGCAGAGTATGTAATTTAATTATTTATCCTCTTTTACATGTTTTAGGGTCGGTTATGTTTGTCATGAATTGTCATTGTTGTGCTTAGCATATGAGTTTTAGGCGTTTGACTCTCTGTTGTTCCGAACCAGACCATTGACGGGCGTGTGGTTAAAGTTAATGGGGTGAGGTCTCGTGGGGGCAGGTCAAATTTTGGAAGAGAACGGTATTATTATCATAATGATGAGAGGAATGGAGATTGGGATCGTGGGAGAGATCGAGACCGAGATTATGATCATGATAATAATGGTAGGGATGGATACAGGAATCGGAGCAGTGATTGGAGTCGCGACCGTGATAGGTCTCGAGACCGTGAGCAGGACAGGGATAGAAGATTTGAGCACATGCATTATGATCAAGCTAGAGATTCTATGTTAGATAATGACTGGAGTAGAGAGCATGATATAGTTGAAAATGAACAAGAACATAGCAGGGGAGGTGGTGGAGATGTGGATAGAGACCACAACTTGGATTTGAATGCTGACAAGAAAATGGATAGGACAAGTGACCCTGATAGAAGTTTTGATGAGGATAGAAAGGATCACTCAAGGAGAAACAATGAGTAAGATTTCCATCTGTTTACCTTGGCATATGTTAATTTCCAACTATTCTTCTTCAGTTGAGTTTATGCTGCATGCATCATCTACTGGACTTATTAGTGTTCTTCCTGCAGCTTGAATGGTACAAATCGACATAGCATGGATCTTTCATCAGAATCAACAGGTGCTCACAATGATCAGGTAATGTGAATGCCTGTAAATTTCTGAAATGTGAGGATTTATGAATTTCTTGTTCAGGTTGCATATAGCATAAAATAAATTGAAGCTGATTTTGATACATTGTTTTGTTTTGTTTCAATTGTTTGTGTGAATTTCAGGTGGAAGCTCAATTAGAGAGCTCAACACAACAGCTTGATCAACTAAAAAAGGAGGTTTGTAATCTCTTCAGAGCTAACGTGAATGAATGATTAAAATTTGTTGCATTGCCAAGTCTATACTAGCTAGCAGCTTTAAGATCGTGTGATGAATGTTTTGTTCTGTCTGAACAATTGCATTTTCTGGAGGTGAATACAAATGCATAGAAAGAATTCTAATTTTTTTGAACACAAATGCATAGAAATACTAAGTTGGTATATCACTTACTTTAGAAGTCTTCCAATTCCATCAAACAAGTCCCCTAGCCCCTTATATGTTATTTTTATCTCTACTATGTGTTGATGATGTGGAAAGTGGAATTTCTTGGCTTTTCAGGTTTCTCAGATGGAAGAGGGATTGGAAGGGAAAAGGGCCCATGTTAAGGAATTACAAAAGCAATCTAAGGTACCTGGTTACTATACTCTATTGCTTGTCCTCTGAACACAAAAATCTGTATAATATGCTGACCTGGAAGATATTTACTGCAGAAACTGGAGGATGCACTGATCAATGCAAAGAAAAACTCTTCATATCGTCAGATGCAGTTAATAAAGGTAGTATCTTGTTGTCATATTGTACATTAGATACTTCCAGTCTCCATATTAATATCAAATTCATGTACTGTTGCTAACATTGGATTTGGGCAATTGATTTTCAGCTGCATAAATATTTTCTGCAAGTGAAAGATCACACAGAAAGACTTAAAACTAGTGAAAAGGAACTTCAGGTTTGTGTCTAAAATCCACATAATTCTAATTTATGTAAAAATCTGCAAAGTATGTCCTGTGTTTTTATAAAAATGATTACATTGTGTTATTGGATACTTTTTTTTTTTTTTTTTCAATTTCACATGATGTTGTGCATTATGTGTAATGAATTTTATGCAGAGGAATGTGAAAAATGCTTCCCTTTATAAAACTTTTGTGCAAATTGTTGTGCTTCCTTGAATTCTGTCTGTTAACATAAATGTACTATATAGTACAATTGTATAAAAGAGGAGTCTTAAGACTATTTTTTTTTTTTTCCTGTTGCCCCATTTATCTATAAAATTAAATATAGTATTTATTTTTTGGGTCTATGATAGGAACTTGAGTATTATGGAATGCCCAAGTCCCACATAGAGTAGTATGTGGTTTATGTGGTTTCTTGACTTTCACTGTACAACACTTCACTCAACTCCCTGTTGTTGAGAACCTTCCACCCTCCATATTTTCCAGGCACCGATAACCGGTCCTTCTTCCAATTGATAAGCAACCCAACACTTGTGAACCCAACCATAAATGCTAGCTATTAAGGGGGAAGAACGGAACACTTAAATATTCCACTTTGCATCCCATTCTACTTGATGTGAGACTTAGGCATTCCATAATACCCAAGTTTCTAACAATCTATTTCTTTCTATTTAAGTTGTTACGTGGGGGCTAAAGACATGCAATTTATTTTGACATAAGAAACTTTAGCTATGAAAGTTCGAGATGTACTAATGTAAAGGATAAGATATCCCACGGAGGATTGGAAGATACAAGAAACACGGCAATTAAAGCTATTGTCCATAGTAGGACCTAAAGTGAAGGGTAAAATATGTTTCTGTTCATGTGACTATAAGTAAATTTGATTTTAGACCTCTAATTTTATTTGTTAGTTTTGATCTTCAACCATTTAATTTTCGGGAATTGGTCCCTTTTAGTACTTAGTGATGATTACATATGTCTATACATGCCACCTCATTTACATGGCACAACTTCATAATAATGGTTATTTACATGGCACGTATAGAGATGCATCACTAAATTGTAAGTGGATATATATATATAAATGGCGAGGGGTAAAGCAACAATTTTTTTTTTTACTAAAATCATAATTAACTATAGTTGCAAGGATTGAAAAATTATTTTTAGTCTGAAAAGAAAACTTTTATGCCATAAAATACAGTGTTGAGATGAATTCCTTATCATCAAGGAGATAGCTGAAATAGACATGTTGAGATTTGAAAGATATCTGATGTTTGCTCCTCATTATTTATTTGAAATTATGAATATTGTTTGATTTTGTGAGCTCTATTTTGTGAGTTCAGTTGTTCCGATAACCCCATTTGCCTTCTTTCCTTTCCTCTCTATCTCCACATGTCCTAATGGATGTGATATAGCACGACTAATTCTTGTTGTCGCTTGCAGGCTCTAATTGATACAGTAATGTTAGAGATTGATGGTGATGGCATTGGATTAAAGGATGGACAACTGACAAATGGGAAGTCTTGATGCTAGATAGTAGTATCTTTGGGAGATTCAGACTGTCACTGATGCTTAAAATGGGTTTAGCACACAATACCTTGTGTGATATGAAGAAAAATGGCTGGATAAATCAATGATTCTCTTTTATTTTTCCTTTTCCGTTTCAACAATTCTAGTCTTTACTAAATAGCATCAGTAGAGTTGTACTTATACTGTTCATACTTTTAACTTCATCTGTTATAATTTCACTAGAGAAAACAAGCCACATCTGTTATTTATCCAAAAGCTTGTATTTGGTATGAAAAACTGACTAATTGGTGTACTTCACTTGTTGCTAGGCAAATGTTTATTGACTGTTGCACGGCGCAGAAAATTGAGTGACCAATTTTATTGGTAATATTCTTAAGTTTGAAAATATGGACTGTTATTCTAAGTGGTAACTGAAAAATTCTTAGCAAAAGTTGTTGGCCTGATGGAAGATAAATTGGATGTTAAGTAAAAATTATAACGCATTCTAGTCATGCAAAAAAAGAAAAAAAAAAAAAAAAAAACTGAAGAATCCTCCACATGAAAATTTTGCTTGATTTGGGTAGATTATATATTGGGCCTGTCTACTTAGGTGGGTGAATGGGACAAACGTTGTTGCTTTTGATATTTCAACATATTCCATTGCACAAAATATGAATTGTATGTTACCCAATAATGATTAGTAGCAGATGAAATCGGCATTTGATGCAATCTTTATGTTGTGAAAAAAAAAAAAGCTTATCACAGGAAGTAAAAATGGCTCCTTTTCAAGAACAGGTAATTGATCCAATATACGTTGCAGACTTCTACTAACAATAAACTCCACTTTTGGCGGTTCTATGAGCTGTGATTTTGTATGAAATTTTAATGTATGGGCCTAAGCCTATTCTTGTTTCACTAGAATGCACTAGTAATACTTTTGGCATCCCAAAATCTGAGACTTCAACTACGTTATTTCCCACCATAACATAAGCACCATGGTTTCATTTAATTTGGTCATATACACCATGTGATCTTACAGCGACTAAAATTTTATTTAAAAAAAAATATCAAATTAATTCACGAATTTTTAATATTTATTTTCTTTTCCAACTTGTCTTCAAATAAATTATATTAACATTTTGTGTTTGTAGCATATAAAAATAATGCATCTTTTATGAGAATTATAATTTGTTTTTATTTATAATGTGTTAAAAATTTTAAATTGTGATGGTTATGAGATGAAGAGACGAGTCAGGAGGATTTTTACTCTTTTCTATTTCAACACACTATATATATATATATATATGGCTACATACAAACGAAATCATAAATAGTTAATATGGATCAAAGCTATAATTAGGAACATTATTTATCAAGGAAAAATAATCCTTCAGTAACATTCATCAATTATTTTTAAAATATCCTCTACCACATAACTTGTATAACTGTAACTCAATTCATATCGATTAATGAAAATCTAATTAAAATTAATTTCAATTCACTATTAGTACGAGTTAGAAGTATAATTCTAAACATTAATATATTTTAAAAAATATATATGGTTGAAGTTAAAATCTCATTAATAAATCATATACTTTTTACAAAATTCGTAATCAAATAATTATCTCATTGTTTCTAACTAGTTGAAACATAACTCTAATTTAACATTTAAAAACATAAAAGGAAAATTGTAATAGCAAAAACAGGTAACAAACCAGTGAACATCTCCTGAAAGGTCCACAACAATGCTGGAACCTCTCACATAACTTCTAAATTGACAAATTTTTCATGCAGAAAGCACAAGGCTAGATTCAATGAACAGATACAATAACTTTGGTAGCTCTTCAAATCAATTTCACCACATGATCCCCTACTTTCTTCAACAACTCTCACAATTCATCATTTTTCAAATTGTCCTCACAGTTCCAATGCTCATCTGATCCAACAACACAGAATGCATATTCACAAATTATATCTATCAACAACCAACCCCGACCAAGTCCACAATAATAGGAAAAAAAATGAAAGCTCCCATAAAAGACACTCTTGAGTAAACTCCCTCTTGAAAATCCCAATGGAACAAATTGTGTCATCAAAACATTATCTGGAGGCTCATCTAGGCCCTCTCAGAAGCTCTGCCCAATATCTCTTCTCAGTCATGGTCATTGTAGTTAGACACATCAAAACAAATAAAATCACACACAAAAACACAAAAGTAATGTCTTAGGATTTTGCTTTGAGGGAAAAGAGTACGAAATAAGGGGCCTGTGGAGATAATAATTTGGACTAGATGTAAAATATAATTTGGCAGAGGCCTGTAAAGACAATAATTTTTCTTTAAACATATTTTATTTTCATATTAGAATATTTAAAAAATATTTCACTTTCAAATTTTTAAATTGGAAAAAATTTAGTACAAATTTTTATATCAATTCGATTTTTTTAAAATATTTTATTAAAAAATATTTCTAATAATATTAATAAATTTATGAAAATTTATTATAATGTGTAATATTTGTTATTAAAATAATTTAATTCAAAAAATTAATTTTTATAATTACATGAATTCATTTTAATAATTATAAATTTATTTATTTAACTAGGTTAGTCTAGGATAATTTAAGAAATTTAAGGAGAAATATTTTAATAGAATAATAATATTTAATCACTTTTAACTTTTCTATTTTAATATTTATAAAATTATTTATTTAAATAATTATGATATTGATTTAGTTTAGGATAGTTTGAGAAATTTAAAGAGATATAATTTGATAATTAATAATTTTAACTGTTAAAAATACATTACTAAAAATTCTTATGAAAATTTTCTTGTAAATTTTTTTATAAAAATGGAAAGGAATAAGTTTTTTATAAATTTAAATAGTTTTTTATAAGAAGAGTGCGGAAAATAACTAACTTTTATATTTATATTTTAATATTTATAAATTTATTTAGTTAAATATGATATTGATTTAGTTTAAGATAATATAAGAAATTGAAGGAGAAATATTTTAATACAATAATAATATTCAATCACTTCTAGCTATTAAAATTTTTTATATAATACATCTAACTTTTTAGTTTCATAATTTATGTTATTCATAAATTTTTTGACGGCTCATTTATTTATTAACTAATTAATATTGGATATTTTTTAATTATTTATTTAATAAATTAATTAATTGTTATTAAATAAAATTATATTGAATAAATATTAATTGTTGAATATTTACTAATTAAATAATTAATAAATAAAAAATTATTAGTTAGATAATTAATAGATTAATATTTATTAATTAAAAATAATGTATAATATTTATTACTTAAATAATTAGTATATTAATATTTATTCGATAATTATTAATATTTTAGTATTTATTAAATAAATTATAAGTTAATATTTAATATTTAAATAATCAATATATTAATATTTAGTTAATTATATTATTAATATAATTAAATATATACGCATTATATCAAATACAATAATAATTAAAATTAAATATAAAAATCAGCTTGATATATTTGTTAGGATTTTCTATATTTTTTATTATAAATTTACGCGTGTTTAATGGTATTAAGGATGATTGCTATTTTTTTCTATATATTTTTTGACAGATTTAATAGTAAATATTTTTTTATTAAAAAATTACTGACGTATCTAAATCCGTCGCTAATTATTTTTGTATAATATAAATTTACCTGTAGAACTAAAATCCGGTAATATAATTTTACCAAGTTAAATTTGTAAAAATATCATTATCGTTAATATAAATTTATCAACGGAATAATTTTTTATCGATACTTTTCTGTCAGTAATCATTATTTTGGATGAATGGCATGGTTGATTTGTCTATTAGATCATATTTAGTTTGATTCCTTCATTAAGTTAGATAAACATTTGGGTTGAATTTGTAACATTAGTAGCTTTATCTCATGCTTCCAACAGTTGATACACCTTGTACGAACTATGGTTTTAAATTAATAACGCTTGTTTTGTTTGTATATATAAAAATAAAAATAAAATCTCAAAATCATGTACAATGAGTACTATGTGTCATGCACTTGTGCACAAGTACATCACAGAAAGGATTAATTGCTTTACAAAAAAAACTGTCAGTGATAATTTGTGAGCTCTAACAGAGTATGAAAATCCCCAGACAAAAGGTGTCTTGTAGTTAAATATAAATGACTGTAACAATCCTGGATTGGATGGAGAATATATATATTTAATAAAACAGCTAAATTTACATGTGATTTTTTGGATACTCATACAACTGTTTTTGATTTAAAATTACAGTTTTATATTGATAGTAATAACAAAAATTAATATTCATTATTATTAAAATAAAACTCTAACTTTAACTAAATTTTGTCTCTAATAAAATATCTTATTTGATTTTTAAAAATTAAGGAACTGATAGAAGGTTTTTATTTTCAATGTCATTTGCTTGTTCTCAACATAAAACTAGAAAAACAAATAAAAAATCCTTTTAAATAGACTTTAGTGATGAACATTGTTATTATATGTGAAAGGTAGGGTAAATTTGTAACCCAGAAGATGCCAATGGTAGGAATCAATTCTTCCTTTGACACAGATGGTGATACATAGCAGCAAGATACTCTGCATATGGTAAAGCAAAAACAAAACCAAACAAATGTCCACTTTTATGCCTCTTTTACCCTCTCTGCACCACACACTCTTTACCACAGAAATATATGCAAAAAGTACAGTTTAGGATATTTTGTTCTACTTAGTTTGTTTTTTTCCCGTCCTTGTTAATGCATAGTTCAACATGCATGGGTTGGTTGTTAACTTGGCAGGTAATATGGGACAGGATGCAAGCAAAACCCTAATTCTAAAACCACTCCTCACAAACCCTAGAATTTCAGAGTGATTTCACTCCCATTGCTCTCTTCACCAATCCCTTTTCTCTCCCCTTCATTTTCCCCGCTCTCCCCCTTCCAGCTGCTACTCTCCGACTTCCCGTCCTCGATGCTCTCCGACCGATCTCCGCCGCGGGGAACGTCGGATTCGGGCGACCCGCGGCCGTGTGCCGCCGCCTTGTACATGTGCAGGTGGTGCAGCGCGTTGTGGTGAGGCGGCGGGGGCGGAAGCAGCTGCGGCGGCGGCGCCGCAGTGTAAAACTCTTGCGGCACGGGAGTGGCCGCACAGTAGTGTGGCGGAGGCGCGTGAGAGGTTGGGTGGGCACCGTAGAGAGTGGGGGTGGCCGAGTGTGCGGCAGTGGCATATTCCGGTGGGACCCAGATTCCGCCTAGGACCACGAGCTGTGGTGCTGCTGGACCCGGTTGAGGACTTGGACTGGGTCTTCTAGTGTGAAGCCTATATTTCTGTTCACAAAATAATTAAGGAATGGAATTATGAATTATTATTTATGATTACAAAACTACAAAAAGTTGAATGCAGAATGGTATGTCAGGTGGCAAAGACAACGCCAACAAAGGTGTCTGTCTGTTTGTACATACATGCACAGTTGAACGGGAAAAAACATTTACCTGCAAATGGCTTTTAACTTCATCATTGGTCAAACCGTCAACCTTCATCAATTCCCTTATCTGCTTTGGGGTTGCCACTGTAAAAAATCCCAAGTCACATATAATTACTGTGAAATTCAAAATCAAAACCAACCTTTTTCTTTCACTTTTTCTTGTCAATCCTTATTATTTTTTCTTAGTGCATCTTTGAAGGTTAATTTATTTGTTAGTTTCATTTTCACAGACCCTGAAAAAAATTAAAAATTCAGTTATATACAACCTTTAAGTAATTGATATTAAAGTTAAAAGTCTCGTCATATATAACAATTTTTAATTCGATAATATATAGTACAATATGTTCTACTTATGATACACTTTTCTTGTAGGACATGAAAAAATGAATATTTCTCGGAGTTAACTAGTGTAGAAACAAGGAAACAGTAAATTATTGTAAACTGTTATATACCTTGTGATCCACCAAGCATCTGGAGAGCATTAACAAATCTACGGTGCAAGTCTGGTGACCAGCACCTTCTAGCTTTCCTATGAGTTTGCGCAGTGGTGGTTGTTGTTTGTGCGTGAGATGATGCAACCGGGCTACCACTTTTTCCTTGATCAACCACAGTTCCATCACTGCCAGAATTCTCCTTCTTATTCTGACATGAAACTCCCTTTTCTACCTCTGCACGTTTCTTATCCTCCATTTCTTTCTCTGCAGAGGCAAGGGCAAGTTCAGGGAGAGGTCGCAATGTAGAGCCTTGGCAGGAGTTTCTCTCCTTTGAGAATGGAAGGAAGGCTCCTCCACCGTTCCTCTGTTTGTTGTCTAGAACCAGCTTGGGGCTGATGCTGAAGCCTATATCAGTTTCTTTGGACGATGTTAATGTTGGTTGTTCTTTGGTTCCTTCACTTGCTTGGCTCCACAGTTGGGCAGATGTCATCCAATTTGCCTTGTCAGACATGTTTGTTGCCTTCTCTGAGCTTTCTGAGGCTAAGTGCTTCATGGGTATGAATTCTTCAAGAACTGGCTTTACACCATGGTTTACTTTGAAGGCCTGAAGTTGCTGCCTTGAAGCCTCCATGGCTGTTCCAATAAAAAGAATTGTGGGGGTAATTACTAAATTGTTTGGTGCACACAGAAGAATATTATTGAAAGAAATCATGGTTGCACGTTATTTCACTTCCACCCTGAATGATCAGTAGCTATTCACTACCAAATTAGCATTCAAAAAAAAAAAAGTGGACAATTATATTTGTGATCGGAGGGTGAAAAAGAAAATAAAAATAAAAATTTCAGAGAGATATCCAAATATAAGATGATGATGATGATGATGATAAAGGTTAATTATATATAAAAACTAGACTTTATTAGGAAAATCTGAACGATAAAAAAAACAAAATCCTGAACGAGTTAATTAGTTAGTGTTGTATCTATTTATCTATGTGTCTATATTTAATACAGAATCCGAAGCTTGAATCTTTGAAGGTTTAGGATTCTGATGTTAAATTAATTTATTGGTGGATTTTATAAAAGGATGATTTTAATCGTGTACCGTTGGTGAGAAGTTGCATGCAGAGAGGAAGCTCACGCTTGAAGGCATCAATCTTGAGACGTTCTTCCTCTAAGCGAGAGAGGAATTCTTCAAGCTTGTAGGTCTGATCAGTTTGATCTCCGAAAGATTTGAGTAGCAAGGAATAGCTTTGGGGCTTGCAATCCAGACTTAGTTCGGATGGTGATGCCATTTCTGAATTTCACGAATAGCTATAGCAATTGATTCACAAGCACACACTGTTTAAGATATGTTCATGCCAAAATAGGAACAGGATGGTATGTGGGAACAAACAAGAGCAAAAGAGCGTGTTTGGCTTCTTCCTTTGTGGTTTTTGGTGGGGGCGAGAGAGAGACAGAGAGAGAAAGGGAGGTAGTGTTGTTTCTAAACACAAGGAGGATCGAGGGAGGATCGTCTTCTTTTTAGAGGTGAGTTCAATGGGAATAAAGCAGGTTCAAGAGAGAGAAAAGAAAAAGCATGGGATAAAGCAGAGGGAAGTAACTTCCTACAAAGAACCAATGCAAAAAAAGTGTAAAAAATGAGAGAGGTGCTGAGAGAGAAGGAATCAGAGAGTCTGACATTAGAGGGTCATGTGCTTAGAGCCTGGTTTTAGAACCTCTCAGTGTTCTTTGTACGAATTCAAAATCACTAATACAAAAGACGATTCTTCTTACTGTTATCCCTTTTTTTCTTTACTCCTTTCTCTCTTTTTATCCCTCCTGTACTCCTTTTATTTTGTCTTTCTTTTCATACTAGCCATGCCTGTGCGCAAATAAGACTCAGATTCTCCAACAATTTCAAATCAAAATCTCATTAACGCTGTATTATCTGTGTTCCTTTTCTTTTCTTCCTCTTATACTTTCTTCTTTTCACGAGAGATTTATCTTGCTTTACTGGATTTATTCATTCATTTTTGGTTAAAAAGTCCCAGGGATTATGTACAGGAATATATATGTATGCATGCATGGATGTCATGTATATCCAGTGGTCTTACTCCATCTTAAACAGATATTAACTATAGATAAAACAAGGGTTAATTTTTTTGCATGCAGACAATATCATTTATAAATAGAATGTCTTTTAAGGATTCGGAAGCAGTTTAGGATTATGTTAGTTATGATTAACTGAATAGGTATATCGTGGTTTCAGTACTTGCTATAGCTCATGCACAAGGAATGATAAAAGATATGGTTTTATGAAATGAAGATGGATGCAGATGTTGGCCACGTGTTGTGCAGCATAGTTCTTGTGGGTATCCATAGCTCCATACCCATGTATGCTATTGCTGTTGCAGCAGCAATAATTAATGAATCTGTCATGATTAATTAATCGAAAGACTTTGAAATGTGGGGGAGCATATACCATCAACATAATTTTTACCAACACAGTGAATAAAGAGAAAGGGGGAAAGAAGGAGGGAAAGCACATATTCAAATAGGTTTTAGTATCAAACTACCTTGCAACCTTCTCTTTGAGTCCAAAAGTTGCATAATTGTCATGAATTTGAGTGCATTCAGGGAAGGGGAGGAATATCTAATCTAAAAAACTAGACACTCACTATACAGAATAAAATATTTGCCTCCAAGAAAGGAATATCTTAGTTCCAATTCTGCGACTCTAAATTAAGGGAACACAACCCACTAAGCTTAAAGGGAAGAGAAAAAAAATCATCCCTACCAAAGAGTGATAAAGGAGCCTAGCGAAGAAGAATCTTCTTCTGCTACTGTCTTTAATGAAGTGGGTAAGAAGCTAAGAAGATTCTCTTTTGCATGTTAAACGAATTTTGGTTAGAAAGCCAGGTGCAGAAACATCACTTACAATAGGGTGGAACCAGGGTTTTGGAAAGTTAGTTGATATAGTCGATTGATTGGATCATGTCTAGTTTACTTGATTCCTTGCGGGTTTCCCACAAACAATAAAATGAAACTCTACTTTTTCATAAAATTATTGACCAAACTGGAACACCTTATAGCATATAATTTTATTTTTTTTATCAAACATACACAAACAGAAAATATTAGAAAGTGGAAAAATATACCAAGGTCCTTAGTTTTTTACTTAAAAATTTCATGGTATATGTGACTTTGATTTAGTGATAAAGTGCTAATAAACATATGTATTATTTGCACTTTTGGTTTTGATAGTTTTTCTCATTAAGTATAATTGACATTATTCTCTCAGCAATTCCTTATGCATCTATGAAACTTGGTCATTTCAAACCTATTCTGAAAGTTTTCATCTAATATTACAATAAATTATTATGGCCTCAATCAATCATTTAATTCTAAGTTGTAGAAAGTCAAAACTTCTCATAAAATACAATTTTTTTTTTTCATTTTTTGTTATGCATGTATATATATTTCAGCTCCCATAACATTGTGGTTGTAGTTTGTTTAAACATCTATGTTTGTTTGGATATATTTAGATAATCTTTTGTTAATATCACTGACGGTCAAAGTTAGAAATTATAGGGGCTGAATTTTTAACTTTGAAACGTTAAATAAATAAAATTAAACAATAATTATGAAGTGATGATTTGGATCATCACATGCGACAACTTTTTTTTGCCTTAATTAACCCATATCTAACCATAATACATCCTCCAGAATCTTAAGACAAATTTCTTACAACTTTCTAAGATCTATGCGAACATACTACCTCTACCACCAACAAAATTTAACAAGAAAATATTCAAATCAACTCATCAAGCTTTTTTCTTTGTCGCCAACAACAAAGATATATGAGATAAGGATACCCAACTCTTTTACAAAATACCAAGCAAATTAAAACATCATATCTTCACAATTTTGTATTCTTTTAAACATCCATCCTATAATTCCTTTGGAGAGATATTTTAAAAGAAATTAAATTTTAGAAATTTATGAAAATTTTGATTATTTAAAATGACTGTAAGAGAAATTATGTAAATATAATTGATGGGTCTACGTATAAATGAAAATCACTTTGTTGATGAACTACATACACCTCATGGTTTACCCTCCTAATCAATGAACTCAAAACACATGTTTTGTCAAACCTAAAACCTTTACTCATAATCTGAAATATTCTGTGAGAATCTGTAACATTGTCTTACAGTGAATACTACTATACACTTAGGTTAAAAATTGAAATCTTTATTACATCTCATGCTTCATAGGATGCACCAACAAAAGATTAAGAGATTTTCAATTTAAAAAAATAAAAGGAAAAGCAGTGTGGGTGTGAAAGTGAGAGGAAGAGTGCATCAAATTCCACGAGCTTTCAATAAAAATGGTTGGTTGCTTTCTAACTTCAGTCTTCTTGTACAAGCTAAACTCCAACTCACACCTTTTCTTCGGATTCTTCCTTTTATTTTTATTTTTCTTCTCTTAAGAAACAAAAAAAAGAAAAAAGAGGAAAAGAAAAAGAAAATAAGAAAGATTTGAGATTATATTATCCTCGAGACCCGTGTCCATAATATTCTTTCCTATCGTCCTTCTTCTGAATATCCCTTTTGCGTGGCCCATTTGCAGTTCCTGTCAGAATATTCCTCCCTTCTGCCATTTTCCTTATCACTCTACATGCTTTTTTCATTTATTCTTTTCTTATTATTCTACTTCTCACATTTCGCCTAATATTGTTTACTTCTTCTAACATCGTGATTATCGAATTTTAATAAAACATCATCAATTTAATTTTAAAAAAATTGAGAATTTGTATTAGTTTTTCCTTATGAACACTATTTGCATTCAGACACAGCACCAAAAACAACCTTGTATCGTCACACTAAAGTTTTCTAACTTGCTCGCCATCACACGTCATCTCTTGGATAGAATATATGAAAATCTTATCCACTTATTATTGTTCAAAGTTGTTTTTAAATTTAGAGCTACTACTTGAAGGTAGGCAAATTATTCTTCAAGCGTTCTCTTTGGATCAGTGTAACTCTGGTATCACCTTTTATCCAGTTTGCAAAATATCTTAGGGATAAAACACCCATTTGTTCGATTTTATGTTTTTAAGTTATAGAAAAAAAAACGTATATAAAGAAGAAAACTATATTTCACTTTAGTAATTATAATTATCTTAAAATCTTCACTATCTTCCAAAAATAATTATTTTAAACAAATTATATTTTTACTCATTTATATATAATTAATTTTTAATAAATTATATACATGACAACTAAAACTTACATTGTTCCAGTAACATCGTAGATAAATAAATCATTTAAACAAGACTAGTATACATTAAAATAATATTTACATCATACATATCTCTCACTGGTCTAATATAATATATTTATTCAATAAATATATATTTATATTACTCTAATAAAATTATGCGAAATATATAAATGAGTTTAAAATGTTATTTTCGTTCAAAATAAACATAATATACACAATAATATTTTTTAATAATAACACTTATATTTTTAACATGTTTAATAAAAGTTTATATTATAACCTTTTTGATAGAATATCAATTTACTTTGCTCAACATTCTTTATTTTTTAATTTCTTTCATCACAAAATTTACTTTCACTTTTATATATTTTGTACTCTTATAATATTTATTGTTCTTAAAGAAAAATATTATTGCAAATATCATAATATATTTTCAATTACATTATATTATACTAGTGATAATTAATTTGAATTGTATCATCAAAATAGGCTACACATGATTGCTCGTAAGCATTTGAATATTTTCTTTATAATGTTCAATTTTTTTATTATCGTTTTTTTTTTCAAAATTCTAATATATAAGGAAGCTTATATATGGTTAAGTAATGATATCCAAATATAAATAGCAATCTAAATAAAAATAGATATATACGAAGTTGTTTTGATTTCAAATCATTATAGAGAGTGACTTTATTTACATCTCTTATAAATTTAAAATGATGATGTTGAACACTTTTCAATATTAAATCTTTCTTCTACTTTATTAATGCATGCTATAGAACAAACACACTAATATCTTATTTATATGAGAATATTTATGTTTCTATTTACCTTATAATTTGTCTCACTAGTATATGTATAAATCATTTCAAGATTGTAGAAAAAAAAATCATTATTCTCATAAAAGAATAAAAATCAACAATTATAAGTAACATATAATTGATATCAGGTATTTTTTTTACACCTATTTTTAACTTATTATATAATAAATGTATTTTTATATATTTTATTTTCATATTTTCAATTTCTTAACTTTTTTTTAATAGTAATAAATTGGGTTGAATATATATATATATATATATTAATTTTGTATTTTTTAATATATATTTATTATTTTACTCATAAATTTGTCTATCAATATTATTTTTTATTATATTTAATTTTATATTTTTAGTGCTTTGAATGGATATATAATTTCTTAAATTTTATTTATTTTTTATAATTTTTAAAAGATAAAATAATTTTATTAAAATTTTGTAAAACAACCGTATTAAACTTTATTTATATTAGCTTAATATTTTAATTAGATTTATGAATCTAATTAGAACTCACCTTTAAAATCATTAGATTTAAGAGTATTTAAACTTTTATATAAAAATTATTTTATTAAATTTTTCTATTAAGATTTTTTTTTCATTTTTTTTCTTTTTCATTCATTTTCATTTAGACTTTTCGTCTTTTTCTTTCTTTTTCTTCGAATTAGTTTAGTGTTGAGCCGCAGATTACCGTGGCTCAGCCGCAAGCTAAGTTGATGGGCCGAATTATTACAAAGAATAGTTGCAAATTGGCCCTTGAAGCCCAAACACAATGATGTATGACAACTAGAGTCACATTCAATTTTTCCAATTGTATTTAACTTTCCCTCACGTGCTTTTCTGAGATTCCACCCAATGATAGTTCGCAACCACATATATTAACAGCATAATATTTTGAATACATATTTTCTTATTAAATAATTAATTAAAGTTTATTATAAATTATAAATTTAATTCTTATTTAATGACTTTATTTATAACTATTTCAATCAATAACACAGTCCATTTAAAAGCACTTTACTAACCCGATTTTATCTTCAGTTCCGTTCTTGGCTCTGAAAATATCTTCAAATTTATTCCAAGTGTTCTTTGACATTTAACTTCCACAAAAATTCCACCCCAACCATATCAAGTTGTAAGAAAAAACAGGGAAAAAAAACTATCATATGAAAATATACATTTTTTGTTCTTTAAATTTTAGTGCAGAAAAGAAGAGAATGATGCTTTGACTATGTTTGGAGTAACTCCTTCCTAAAACTTATAACAGGAAAAATACCTTAAAAAAAAAAAAAAAACACTTTTATATAATAACTTTAAACTGATGAAGTTTCTGAATAACTAGTGAACAAAGGTTTGCCACCTTTTTTCGACAATTATTGCACTTTTAAAGCTTAAAATATTAAGCAGAAGAATACTACTTGCATTGCTTACAATTTATTTATTTTCCTTTCTACACCCACTATGCAGGCAAGCATACAAAATAAAATATCTAACTGGAACTAAATTAATCACGATATATTATAAATTGGAACCCTAGTTTTCAGATGTAGAGTACCCCACACGCTTTTTTTCTCTCTATATTTTGATTTCGAATATTGAACTTTGCACATTGCCTTTTTCTTTTAGTCTAAGGTTGGTGACAATTTACATAAACAAATTCTATATTCAAAATTTCGTAACATTCCCGATACATTATTTTGTGTGTATGTATGTGTGAAATTTGGTCGAATTCTTGTAATGGAGACTCGTCATATAAATGATCAAATAGAATCTAATTCATTACAAAAAAAATATATTATTTACAAAATATTACCTATGAATATAAATTCGTAGGTAAATTGTACATTACATATAAATATTACTTACGAAATTCTATCCATATGTAAATTATATCAAATTAAAAGAATTGTGATTAACAAGATTCAAACCCAATACGTTAGAGTTGAAGATCGATACTTCGACCACTAAACTACTAAGATTTTTTTATAAAAATTTACAAATAAGTTATATTTACTTACAAATAAATGTATATTCATGTAAATATATAAATATGTAAATATATAGATATGTAAATATATAAATATATCAAAATATATAAATATGTAAATATATAAATATATTTGTATTTATATATTTAATATTATATATTTACATGGATAAATATAAATATAATTTATTTGTAAGTTATTATCAGAATATCCTAATAAGCTTAGTGGTTTGAGTATCGAGTTTTCAATCCTAAGATGCTTGCGTTCTATTTACGTCATTGATAATTCTCTTAATCGAGTAATTCAAACTTCTAAAAATATAATATAGAATGAATGAGAGTTCTAGGTAATAAAAATATTTTATTTAAACGAGTGTATTACCTACGAATTATAATCCGTAGGTAAAGTGACATTACTAAGAAATTTTATCTAGATAATAGGCTCTTTTTTTTATCTAGATAATAGACTTTTTTTTTGTAGTAATTTATATGCAAGAAGTAAGAAGAAAAATAGTTCTACTAGATCAATGTTGTAAGATCATCATTTTTCAATCTAATTTTCTCTCTTTGTTTAATCCTTTATTTTTAAAAACACCTACGAATTTGCACTCGAAACCTGCAAATTATGTGACATGACGAAGACTCCTAAACGTTGATTTGTGCGTATAAAGTAAAGAAAAGGGCATGCTAATAAATGAATTGGACGAAACAAGTTGAAAATACAAATGCATGAACAAGTAGTGTGATCTAAGATACTTGAGCATAAAACCAAAAGCATGAATATTTACGAAATGAGATATTCTATTCGTGTGAATCCAATTGTATATGAAAATTCTGTTCATGCAATATAGTGATTCATCAAATGACAATGAAATTCATTTTGAAAATTCTGTTGAAGTTGGCATTAAATGAGAAGTAAAAAGAGATAACGAAGGAAATGAAGATTAAGTAACGACATTATTAGTATTATTTTTTTGAATATATAAAGAAAATATTCTCTGGTGGGCTTTGCGGAAAGTGGAAGAAAGGTACGTCTACGGGTCGAAGGAATTTGCACGTATAGCATATGGGATGAGAATCAGTGAGGACTCTACTTGTTGATTAAATTAAAAAGTATATTACAAACAGGATTGTGCTACTAAATATTCTTAATTCAATTCAAGATAGATGCTCTTCACCGTTTTTGTTTTTTATAAAATCTTATATAGCCAGCTGTTTGCATTTTTGTATGTGATTGATTGCATAAGTTTCTGCATGCTTCATCTTCAACCTCAGTTTTTTCAACCCTCTTCCTCTTTCTGCTTCTTCATCAAACTATTATATCAATTCTTTTAGTTTAAACTGAGTTGGATGGTCAAACAAGTTTAAGTAGAATAAGTATATTATTCTAAACTTTTTAACATATATTCATTTTTTATAATAAAAAAAATGAACTTCCAAACTTGAGCGAAAAAATCCAAATCATTTCATAAGATATCCGGTGAGAAACTCAATATATATATGAATCAGATTATGAATATTATAGATGATATGAGAGGAAGAAATGTATCAGACGGCAAATATGGCGACAGAGCAGCGTGTATGTGTTATAGTTGCCCAGAGAATGAACCCTTGAGTTTGACCATCGATAATATATTATAATAAATATATATAATGGCATCTGAAGCATCATAAGAGAGAGTGGAGGATGGAATAGAATCACGTTGGTGTCGGCCTCTACTGAAAAGATGAACTTGTTGTAAAGAGGAAAAGCTACACTATAATTCAGAGTATTGGCGAAGACTGGAATTTTGAACACTACCATAAAATAATTGTTGACTCGCCATTATTGATGTTTCTGCACAAAGTAAACTTGCTACGTCAAACATCCTTGTCAAAACAAAATTCTGCACTTGTATATGTAGTCCACACTATGAGGTTGAGTTTTGTAGGATAGTTACATGTATCTTTGATTTTCATTCTGTTTATTTAGGTGCATTTTCTCTATTAACAACTTCTACCTTCATGTGTTTTTCTTATAGCTCTAGATATGAATAAGATTAGGATATTGAGATAAAGCTATGCTCTCTCTCTCTCTCTCTCTATTCTTAGATGCCAGTAGGTCACAGAGGTTAACGTCAACTTTCATGCATGCCAAGGTGGAATAGATAATTGAAAAATGTTATGTCTTCTGTCGGAAAATAAAATGTATATATAACAAAAAATAATTATTTTTAAAACGTCTTTTAAAAAGGTAAAATCCTAACACATGTTAACAAATTTTAAAGATCTAAATCTATATTTTAAAACAAATTATATTTTTTTTAATATTTCATTATATGAATAAATTATTTTTTCTCTAATTTCAAAATTTCAACAAAATCATAACATATCTATAGAAAAAAAATTAAGATTTAAAAAAGCATAATATCATTATTTACTCATCCAAAAGTAATTCATAAACTATTTATAAAAAGAAATCATAATATATTATTTCTCAATGCTGAATGTTTTAATGTCTAGATATTATTTTTAATAATTTCATCATTTGTCTTCCACTTTTATATGATACGAAATTAAAATAAATAAATAAATAAATACTCATAAATAAAAAGTTCAAATTATTAAAAATTTAATAATTCTAATTAAAAGACAGTCAAAACATTGACACTAGGTATTTCTAAGAAAATTAAGGACTTTCAGACAAAAAAAATTACCTATTTTTTTACTTAGGTACACATTGTAGGGATAATAACATTTTAATCAATAATGGAAGTGTTTTCCCGACATAATTTTTAAAATTAAAATTCAAAACATTATTTATATCTTAAATCCGCTCGTATTAATAACATCATATTTAAATCTAGATATTATTATTTTAAGTTAATTTTTATTATTCAACATAATTTTTATGTCTTGATATTTTAAAAATACATTTAAAAATATATTGTGTTATGATTGATTTTTGAAATATATATATATATATATATATATATATATATATATATATATATATATATATCTCGTAATTCTTACATTTATATTTTTTTTCATAGACTCATTTTCTAACACATGTAAGAAATAATGATTTTTTTTTTTAACTCAACACATTTTTGTTCAATATCATTGCTCTTATTATTACTAAGCACAATGGAACTAAGAAGTCTTACATGTTATAAATGATGATGATTTTATATCTTAGAATAGTTTATTTTGATATACTACACTAAGAAGCTTATGAAAAAAAAAAAAAACTAAAAGAAAATGTATAAGTGTTATAAACTATTTGGGTAAAGTAAGCTCCACTGAAGTTTTTCCAAATACCTCCTTAACTCTTATGAATTTAATCTGATAAAAATAGTGTTAAAAAATTATATATAAGATAATGAATTACTAGCATGGTTCTTAAAACGATAGATGAAAAAAATGCACATTGCAAACCATATATTTGTTTAATAATAAAATTCAATTATGATACATTAAATTGAGTGTATTTGAAAAACAGTTTTCCAAATACAAGGTTTATTATTACATTGCGAATTTAGATGGTTATTAATATTCTCTTCTTTTCAGTTATCTCTTATTTTTTTCATCTTGCTATTGAAAATTGAAGATAAATTTAAACTTTGAATGAATCTATTTAAAGATATAAATTCTCTCTCTAATACCTATTTTTGCTTTCATTCACGAAACACAAACAAACCAAGATTTTTCTGCTTAAAAAAATAAGTTTTACGTTATTTATACCCGCAAGTATTGATTTATTGCGCTTCTTATCAATGAATACATAAAACCAAAATTTTAATTTGCGTAATATTTTATCTTTTAATGTAGAATGTTCAACACAGAAATTTAATTTATTGTTCCTTAGATGGCTTGGGTTTAATTCATGGAAAGGTATCAGAATTGGATCCGAACTGAATTGGTATGGTCCAACTCAAAAGGGAATAACTGCGGCCCATATATAGAGTCTTGGACCTTTTTTTTTATCTTTTTACACCATAAATTTGTGGACACCTTCTATTCATTTCGAAACGTATAAAAAAAATATTATCAAAATACATTTTGAAATGAATTGGTGGTGGGTAAGCATTTTATAAGGGTTATTGCTTCCTGCATCTCTATAATTTATCCATGCACCTTAATCTTTCCATCCACCTTCATATATCAAGTTAAATACTTAAAATATTATTCTTATAATTTTTTTTACTCTTAATTTTTATATTTGTGTACAATTTATACACCTTCATCCCTTAGTACTTTCATCCCTTGATTATTTGATTTTTTATTCTATTGCCTCCATTAAAAGACTTTTATTAACAATTAAAAATAAGTAATTATTAATATTATGTATGAATTACTTGCACTCAAATTGCACAAATAAACCAAAATTACTCAATCTGAAACCATGTTGAGAAAATGCGGTTGAATTCCAGAACATCCAATTCAGAATGCATTTCTGGATTAACTTTTCTAGAACACTCAATCCGAAATGTATTTTTGGATTGACTTTTCCGAAAACATATTCTTGAATACTGTTATAGATGGTGGGATGCATTTCTAGAAATCAATTCTAAAAAGATAAATCTGGAATATATTTTCAGAAAATCAATTCTAGAAATATATTTTGGAACGTATTTTTCATAATGTATTTCTGAAAAATTAATTTCAAAAATACATTCTAAAAAATGTGTTCTAAAATGCATTTATAAAAAATTAATTTCAAAAATATATTTAAGAAAGCACTTTTTGGAACATATTAAAAAAAAAAATCATTTTTCTCATTCCCTGTAATATGTAAGGATAAATGGAGTTTAATATAATTATAGGGAGGAAGATATTATGAGGGTGCAAGAAGCAATAGTCTTTTATAAGGTGTGGATAAACATGCTTCCATTTATAAATGTGGTAATGGGTGAGATCATGATTGAGGCAGCTAGAACAAATCAACGTGGGAAACAAATTGAAACCCATTTCAATTTAATCTGCGTTGGATTTTTTTTTTTTTTTTTTTCGTTGATTGAATTAAATTCAATTTTTTTTGTTCAAGTTAAGTGATGATTTTCTATGATTCGAAGAATCAACTCAACTCAAAACCTCGCCATCCCCTTTAACTTAATCAAACTCGTGCACTACTCCCACTTGATGTCATCTCGCATCGACACTTGAATCTCTACTACGATGCATTCGCCACTTTCGTCATGCGTGGTCAGAGACAGAGTATAACAGTGAACAATGGAGATTTCAAAATGTAAAATTTTAAACCCTGGATTATGATTTTAGAAAATTCAACGCTTCAAAGTTAGTCCCCATAATGAGAGATTTGATGTGGTTTCCTTCGTTTACATGCCAATAAATTATTGTCATGATCTAGTGTTTCACGTATGTACAAGCTCTTGGACATGAAGATGAAAGTTCTCAAACTGCTACATCATCACGAAAGTTCTCCAATAATAACAAACATCGACCTCTGGATAATATTATTTATTTTATATACATAATTAGTTAGTGGCCCAAATTAACATGAAAATAAATAAACAAATTTGATATCTGTATTATTATTTAATTTACAAAACTCTTACTGACTTAATGTTGCAAAAGTTGAAAAGTAACTGGTTTGTTCATTTCTAGTCGTTCCTCTTGTTAAGAACCTTTAGTATAAGTATGGTAATTTTAGAATGTGATTCCAAGGAAATGATGCTAGGTTTTAAGTTTATGGACATTACGATGTTAGACAAATTACGTGTAGAAGGATAAATAGATGCATAAATGAAATTATATGTCAAATTAAAAAATTATTTTAGATATTTAATAATTTGTTAATTCAATTTTAATTATCAGATAAAATATAGATAAAGTGGAAGTGATATAATTAGAGAAATAAAGAGAAGGATGTAAGCACAGAGGTATAAGGAAGAGAAAAACACACATAAATTTATTCTAGTTTGGGTCAAGTCAACCTTACATCCAGTTTCATGTCACCTCTAATATGAGATAGACAACTCAATTCACTATCTTTAAAATTAAGTCTACAAATTACAATCAACTTTGCAGAAGAACTAGTAAACAATAAACTAATTAAAAAGATAAACACCTCTCTATAACAAGGGATGAAACAGAGACAGAAACACACCTCTCAAGAATATCACTTAAGATGAACACCTCGTCTGAACAAATCATAGGATGAACACCTCTCCTAAACCAATCAAGGGATGAACAATCACCTCCTTTGCAACTCACAAAGGATGAACATCTTCTCTGAACAAATCAAATAATGAACACTTCCTTAGAATCTCGCTAAAGATGAACACCTCCCCTTAACCAATCAAGGGATGAACAATCATCTCTCAAGAATCTTACTTTAGATGAATACCTCTCAAGAACAAGGGATGAAAGAAACAGAAACACAATCAATTAAATAAGAACAGTCACACCTGGTAATAGAGACAACAAATTGTAGAAGTATGTAGAATGTCAACCTCTAAGAACCAGTGTGATTAATAATGAAAGTGCAGAGGACAATATGAAAAAGTTTTCTCAGAAAACCTAAAAATGCTCTGTTGCCTTGCTCAGAATGAATTTCTTAAAATTGAATGTCTGTAAACTGTATTTTCGAATTTTGTGATTGTGTATTTTGATTTTTCATCAAAATTCATTTAAATAGAAAAATAACATTGAAAACTTTAGTTTCAAAATCAAAAGTAGTCATTTCTCAGTAATAAATTCATGGAAAAAAGTCAGGAAGTATTCAACAGTTGTAATTCTTCAAAAAACATTTATTTTTTAAATTTGAACTGTCATAATAGATTATGTCACTTGTATAATCGATTATGATAATGCCAAAGTCAATTTTTCATTTTTGATGCATCATAATCGATTATGTTACTCACATAATCGATTATAACACTTATGTAATTGATTATGACAGAGACAAAATCAATTTTCATCACTTGAAGCATCATAATCGATTATGTTACTTACATAATCGATTATGACAGTGAAAAATGTCATAATACGAAGTTTTATCACACTTGTGTTTTGGAGGCTTATGCATAATACTACTTCATCAACTTGTACCTCCATATCCAGTGTTCTAAGACTCTATCTAGTCTTCATGTTTCATCTTTGGCTTGCTTGAGTCTTGAATGGTATTGACTTAAATCTTTATAAAAAATCATCTTCTTCAAAATGTATATTTAGTCTTCAAGCTTCATCTTGGACTTACTTGAGTCTTAAATGATGTTTACTTGAATCTTCATCAAAATCATCTTTTTCATAATGTAGAGAAATATTTCACATTGTTATTAATCTTTCCATAATGCTTTCAATCTCCCCGCAGTACTTTTATATGACAAATTATATTATGTTAGTAAGATATGTAATTCAAAATGAATTTCTTAATATATATATATATATATATATATATATATATATATATATATATATATGTAACATTTAGCATTGAATAATCAAATATTTTATGTAATGAAGTTTTGATTAGTAAGGTGATATAATATGTAATTTGGATGCTGATCAAGTTAATTTAATAAGAAAAAATGTGTTATCATATATAGAAGAATTTTTATATAATTTTATTTTTCATTGACATTTTATCAAGTATCTCTGATAAAAAATAAAAAAAATAAACCCCCGTAATTAAACACAAATACCATGACATGCGCAACAATTGAACAAAATTTACTCTTTAATGAAAAACTATCATTCATGAGATTTACAAAAACAAATATTCTTACCCCACGAACTATAATCTAACACAAATTATAACACTCCATCAAATCAAACCATATAATAAAAATTAATAAAGAAGAAAGAAATAATACTGTTAAATATTATCTTAACTGTGCCCAAGAAGAAGCAAGATTATGTGATGAGAACACAATAAGGAAGATGTGAGATATACTAGTTGGAGATTTGGTGAAGAAGGAGTTCTTAGACTGCAAAGAAGAAAAGTTATAGAATGAGAAAAATGAAAATTGTAAAGCGAATTTGTATCTACAAATTGAGAAAGATGAAAAACGTGAAACAAAGTTGCATTTTTTTTTAATTTAAGGAGTCTATTTTATATTAGTTCAATTTTAAATCAATATAAAAAGAGTTTTTTAATTACTAAATTATCATAATATATCTTATTATATTAGAAATAAATTAGAGGTATCATAATAAATTATCATAATTTATTTTTATTTTGAAAAAGAATATATGGAAGATGATTAATCTAATGAAGTAGACCCTAACATACACAATGATATTGAGACTGGAAAAATGAATAATGAGAAGTTAATTATGTGTGATAGTATAGATTTCGAGCTTGAGATTATAAAAAATCATAAGGAATCAAAATAAAAAATTTATGTGTTTATCATCTAAAGTATTTAACATTGTATTAGAGAACTATTTATAATTCAAGAACACATTAAACATTTTCACTTTAAGCTTTAAAGCACTTTGGCTTGGTTTTGTTGGTTGGTTATTGATAATTCTTTATTATTTGAAACATTTTTTTATGATATTGCTTAAGACTCAACAAAGACAGATAAAATCATATTTAATATATTTCACCAACTTATTTTTGTTGATTTATACATCACTTTATTTTGCATATATGTATTATTTTTTCATGTATCAATAACATCATTTCAAAAGGAGAGCTAAAAGTGAGTACCTATCCATGTGTTTTAAGTACACAAGATAGAAAATATAGAAAAAAATGTGTTTATTTTATTAAAAAAAATGATACCATAGCTTAATAAATAAATTATTACAAAACAATAAAAAAAATAATATTGTGCCTAATAAATAGGTTAAGGCTACTACATAAGTACATGATCTGAAAAGTGAGAAATTTATTAATAATTAAGGAAAACAGAAAACAATTCAATTGAAGAAACATATTAGTGAAG